AGAAGTGACTGGCTTACAAGCTTTCAAGAGGGAACCTAGACAGAGAGAGAAAAAAAAAAAAAGAACATTATACAAGAAGAAAGCAAAAAGTCATTAAGAAGACAGGAAAGAAGGAAAAGACCAAACCAGATTTCAGAAGAGACTCTAAAACTTGCTCTCCAGCATAGAGATGCTAAACTAAATGAAAGAAATGAGGAGATAAAAGAACTGAATAGAAAATTTCAAAAGGGCAGCTCGGGAAGACAAAGTCAAGTATTATAGCAAATTGTGCAAATACCTGGAGTTAGAAAACCAAAAGGGAAGATCACGTTCAGCATTTATTGAAGGATTCTATTGGCAAAATATTAAATGATGCAAAAAGCATCAAAATAAGATGAAAGGAATATACAGAATCACTGTACTAAAATGGTTGATGTTTAACCATAGCATATGATCAAGAGCTAATGGTACTGAAAAAAGAACTCACAGCAATGCTCACAATTATGGGATTTATTAGGGAAGTGAACAGGGTATAATTCAGGTTCAAAAAGCTCAGGATGTAGCAGATCTTCCGACAGGAATGCCTCTTGAGTTATATTGTAGGCAAACCTCATTCTTGTCTTTAGCCTCTCAGCCATGTGGTCCCTTGGTCTCTGCCCTGCTCGGGCAAGTGTAAAAAAGTTCTTTTAACTAGTCTGTGATGGAATACACAGAAATCAATCTGACTACAATCTGTGGAAAGATGTATATCATCAGTCAAAACAAGGCCACGGATCTGTGTAGGCGGGACTGATGAAATGCGGATGGGTCTTTTGTGATACATTAGTAAATAATTGTTATCAGGACTGATTGTGAGAGTTGTAAATGTAAAGGTAGACATTTTGTAGCAAGGAGGGGAGTGATTAACTCTTCAGCCTAGGAGCGGAGGTCGCTGGGACCATCAAGGGAGAAGAGCAGAGAGTGGTACCCTACCCAGAGAAGCAGTGATGCCTGAGATGGAGGCAGAGACGATGACGTGGAGATGGAGCAGCTGGGGACTATAGACCCAGAGGGAGAGGGGCTCTGTGCATAAGACCGGCGTGGGGCGGGGGAACAGCCTTGTAGTGTATATACCCTTTGGTTGGTTGATGATGCATGGAGGGGATTGTAACCATAGCAATGAAACAATATACGATAGGATGAATGTAAAACTAATGTTCTCCCATGTAAACTATCACATAATTCACAGTAAAATATTAAAAAAAAATTCATTTTGCTTGAATCCACTATCAACACTTAAAAAAAAACAAAAAACAAGGCCACGGTCAGATTGTTGAACAGACCACCAATTGCTCATATGCAAATTCAAACTGAAGCTGAAGAAAATGAAAACAAGTCCACGAGAGCCAAAATATGACCTTGAATATATCCCACCTGAATTTAGAGATCATCTGAAGAGTAGGTTTGATCCATTAAACACTAAAGGCCGGAGACCAGAAGAGTTGTGGGATGACATCAAGAACATCATACAGGAAGAAAGCAAAAAGTTATTGAGAAGACAAGAAAGAAGATCAAAATAAATGTCAGAAGAGACATTGAAACTTGCTCTCCAGTGTAGAGATGCTAAAGCAAATGGAAGAAATGAGGAGGCACAAGACCTGAACATAAAAGTTCAAAGGTCAGTGGTTCAAGCTCACCAGCTGCTCCTTGGAAACCCTATACAGGGTCGCTATGTGTCGGAATTGACTCGACAGTACTTAACTATAAACAAAGGAGCTCTGATAGCGAAGTGGTTACAAATCGGATTGCTAACCTCAAAGTCAGCAAGTTTGAAATGACCAGCAGATCCGCAGGAGAAAGATGAGGTTTCTGCTCCTGTAAAGATTTACAGCTTCGGAAACCCTGTTCAGGGTCGCTTTGAGTCGGACCCAACTCCATGGCACACCACCACCACCACCACTATAAACAGGTATATTCTCAGTCTATTTAGTGCCCTGTTTTCTGCATGTTTGTGCTTTTTTATCTCACTGGTTAGCCCTAGGACAGTGCTGAAAGGGTATCTAGTGTTCCTGCACACAGAAAGGCTGTGATGTGCCTTAATGATAACGTCCATGTTAAATAAGCTTCAATCAGGCCTGGGTTATATTGGACTTAGGTTCAATGCTAATGAAACTATACTTAAATATAAACATATCTAAAACAAGGTTATGTGTTTTGTTGATGAAAATACGATGACAAAGCCTCACAGAAAGCTAACCGTATATTTTCCCTAGGAGCAATAGTCATGTTTGCAGTGACTTAATGGAACATGTTGTTGTTAAGTGCCATTGAGTCGGTTCCAATTCATAATGATGCTGGATAGGGTTTCTGAAGAGCAACTGGTAGGTATGAATCACCAACCTTGAGGTTAGCAATCCTGTGCTTATCCTACAGCATAACACCTATACCACAAATGAACATCAACTGCATTTCTAGAGCACTGAAAGCAGGTGAAACATGAAAAAACAAAAAAGGACCCTCCTTTCCTCCTCTTTACAGCAAAAACACACAGATCTCCGCTAAACTACAGTAAAAGGATGCCACATACAGAGACGATGACGTGGAGAGATAGAGCGGCTGGGGACTCTAGACCGAGAGAGGGAGAGGATCTGTGTGTTGACGACCAGGGGCAGGCTTGCAGGGTATATCCTTTGGTCGGTTGATGATGCATGGAGGGGATTGTAACCATGGCAATGAAACGATATACAACAGGTTGAATGTAAAGATAATGTTCTCCCAGGTAAACGATCACAAATTCACAATAAAACATTAAAAAAAAAAAACGAATGCCACATAAATTTTTCCCTTGGTTAAATTAAAAGCTTGTAGACTTCCAATCTGTTTCCAAGATGCTCTGCACTTCTCAGAAATATCAATGTCTTTATAAAGAGAACTCAATATTCCATGTGTTTTCCTTTTACAATCTAGAATTCTCTACTCCTGTAGCATGTATTTTGTCACCTCCCTACTAGCTTATTGTTGTTATGTGCAATGAAGTCAGTTCCAACACATTGCGACCTTAATGTACAACAGAATGAAATACTGCCCAGTCCTGTGCCATCTTCACAACCGTTGTTAAGCTTGAGCCCACTGTTGCTGCCACTGTGCCAATCCATCTCTTCAGGGGTCATCCTCTTTTTCGCTGACTCTCCACTTTGCCTAGCATGATGTCCTTCTCCAGGACTGATCTCTCCTGATAGATAATATGTCGAAAGTATGAGAAGAACTCTTGCCATCCTGACTTCTAAGGAACATTTTGACTGTACTTCTTCCAAAATACATGTGTTTGTTTTTTCTAGCAGTCCATGGAACTTTTAATATTCTTGAAATTTTAACAAAGAAGGAAGTGCCTGTATTTCTCTTTGGGCCGCAAAAGGCACCTGTTCTCACATGGTAAATACCACTGTGTGCAAATTAAGACAGAGATTACTGACTATATAGACAACCACAGCACCTTTGAAAGGCATTTACCAATGGAAAAGAGTTGAACATTAGAAGTTTTTAAAACAGCTGCTTATATTTTAGCTCAATACTTTTTCAACTTTCCATTAAAGAATATAAGTATAAAATATCTTCATTTAAAGTTTACAAACTATAAGTAATAGATCATTTCAGAATTTTCAGTTGCAAAAAGGCTTTGGTAATCATCTGGTCAAACTCCTTCCCATCTTTATAACTGAGACAATTTAGACTCTCACTCACTGATTAAATAAGTTGCCTCAGGGCTTTGGCTCTACTAGCAAGGAAGGAACATAGGCCTCTGGCCTCTCTATGTACTTTAAACTTGGGGATCTTAACACTTAAAAGGAATACAGTATTTTTACACACATACGGTGCACATTTTACATTTCTGTCAACCACACAACCCCCTTATCTTCCTAGGTATGTTGTGAACATTATATGTGTAGGAGTTGTATTTATGTGAGTAATTTGCAAAAAATTGGTAACCTAGTTTAGCTTAAAAATAAAATGAAAAGACTGCATATCTACTATGCAGTAGATATGTGTGTGCTTATGCCTGGTGTGGCACCCTAACATAAGCACTTGACCTCAAGGTCAGTTTGAATGGCAAGGTTGGCTGTTCAAACTCACCAGCTGTTACAAGGAAACCCTATACAGGGTTGCTGAGTTGGAACTGACTTGATGGCACTGAACAACAACAATCTACTGTGTTACACTAACCTTTAAAATTTATATTAAAGAGGCAATGTATTAATTTTGTTTTAAAATGCCATACCAACAAACCTGTGATGCATTGCAATCATTTTATTGATATAAAGCAATGAGATAAATCCTTTAACAGGAATAGATTCACTACCATAAATGCATATTGATACTTCATTATAGTGTCATGCTTGCTTGAGTGTGTGGGTTCCTTTCACCTCCACATATATAAAAATTATGTTTATATCTCATTGACCAATAGAACAGCATACAGCCATGCACCTCTTCTTTCTGATTTAAATGCATGGAAATGCTCTCATGTAACACTTGTATTTTTTCACCAATCATGGACTTCATCATTTATGAGCAAGTTTTTAGCTTACTATTTCTGTCATTTCATTACTTTAAAAAAACAAAAAACACTGTGGTACAAAAGACCTTTTTACAAGGTCACTTTTGGAGAAATAATTTTGCAAATACAGTTAATAGTCCTAAAATGACTGTAATCAAGATCATCCTACAAGGACATGCTGGTAGACTCACTCTCCTGGAGAGCTTCTGATCTTATTAAGAATATGAAAATGACAGGAGGAGGGGAGATATAAAGATATTTCTACAGAAGACTCGCCTAGAGTCATCTTATGACTTATGCAATGAAGATGACATAGTTCAATCATTCTGCTAATGATGATCATGTCTAGAAAGACGCATCATGTAATTAAATGCTGCTATAATTTTTGTGTTCTGTCTGTGAAAATATAAAGTGGTCATGAAAGCTGGAAAATGTTAGCACTATGACAAATAAGGAAACTCTCTTGGAGATTAAACATTTAAACATGTAAAATTTTAAATAGTATCTAATAAATTTCCATGTCAACTCTTTTAACTAAACATATAAAATTTTAAATGGCAATGAATAAATCTTCATGTCAAATCTTTTAACAAAACCCACAAATAGCTTATAAAAATTGAACAATCATAAATGTTTTATGTATAAAGTTTTAAGAAAAAGTTTAAATTTCTACATTATTCTGTTTAATCAAATACTTGGAGTTTTAGTTACTGCTGAGGAACAACAGATACATTTCTAAAATAATTCAGTTATGAAAATACTATCACAATTATGGTTTGGCATAGTAGCAGTCCAGTGTTTTCAGTCATCCACAAATGTCAACCGTCCAGGACCTTCATTCTTCATCCACCTCCTGTATCTCTTCCATCTAGGGTCATTTGCCAATTTTTTCTTTAGTTCTTCTTCCTGTTCTTGTTTGTAGACCTGTAAGTATGAATAACTGTATATAAGTAACTGATAATACAATCCAAAGAGAAACATTTGCCATTAACTTTATGTAATATTTATATTCTTAACTCTGGTAGCGTAGTGGTTACGAATCGGGCTGCGAACCTTAAGGTCAGCAGTTCGAAACTACCAGCCGCTCCGCGGGAGAAAGATGAGGCTTTCTACTCCCGTAAAGATTTACACCCTCGGAAACCCTGTACAGGGTCGCTATGGGTCGGACCCGACTCGACGGCACTTAACAACAACAACAACAAATATAATTTTAGGTAAAAGCTACATGTGTAACTAGTCATTTTTTGTTCCTGATTTCTCTATCCTAGTAATGCACTCCCTTCCTCACTGAAATCATATATAAACTGATTTTAAACATTTTCTACACATAACCAGTTATTAAAGAACCAACACTTTATTTTTCAACATGATACACTATAAATGTAACTGACTTTCACTATGCTAACAAGAAACAAGTCGACCTTACATGACACCAAACTGAAATTATACCTACTGTCCTCTTCAAAGATAATGATTGGTTTTTCAAAATATTTCAAATCATGTAAGTTCTCAAAGAAGGTTAAATGAATCACACAGGTAAAGAACAAAGAACATTTCCATTTTCCTAACTTTGAATGCCTGTCAACTGAGGTGAAACCAAGTTTTTGGAGCCAGTCTCACATCCACATCACATTTTAGGAAGCAATTATTTTGTTTGCCAATATCAAGAAACAATGACTTCAGACAGCCTTATAGTAGATGCTATGGAAAACCGTTTTATGTTTGGAGCTGCTTAACCTACTTAAAGAAAACTTCAAATAGTGTAGAAGCCATTTTGTTACTGCTTATTTTTATGACATTTTTAAGCAAGACTGAATATATTTACTTGTCAAAACATTCTGGCAGTTCAAATAAGTTAATTTACTTAAATATAACTAAGACTAAAATTTGACTTTTAGTAAAATCTATTTGTTGTTGTAGAGTGCTGTCAGTGGATGGTGGGTTTGAACTGAGGACCTTGCGGTTAGCAGTCCAGTGCTTATTCTATAGCGCATCACACCAGGATTCTCAAATCTATTTTTTTGTTGTTGTTGTTAAGTGCCATCAAGTTGGTTCCAACTCCTAGTGATTCTGTATAGGATTTCCAAGGAGCAGCTGTTGATTTTGAACCACTGACCTTGTGGTTTCAAGCTGACCTTGCTGTCCAGTGCTTTATCCCACAGCACCACACCATGACTCCGTATAATCCATTTAAGACATCGCATAAAAAGGAATGGCTATGAAGCTAAAACAATTAGCAATACATATAGATTTCTTAAAAAGGTTTCAGTTTGTTGCAATATTTAATATTTTGCTATTGTTAAGTGCCATCGAGTTCAGTTCTGACTCAGTGATCCTGTACTGGGTTTCTGTGGAGTGGCTGGTGGGGTTGAACTGCCGACCTTTTGGTTTGCAGTCCAGTGTTTATGCTACAGGGCCATATACTAACCAATTATTTAGCCTACAATGTACAACGGTATCACTGTGCTGTGAGATTCTTAGACCTTTGGTACTGTGACTAGGTACTAAATAGCTGATCCCCTCTAAGCAGTTTTTATACTGACAATTGAAGAATACAGCATCTATTAGAAGAACCAGGTTTTGAGGCATTAAGGTAAGTAAATTATACTTAAAGTAAAAATAAAAGTAACTTTCTGTATACATGAGAGGGTTTTTAAATGTTTGTGGAAAATTAAATTAAAATGCCCCTGCATGTTAATGAAACAGAAAACTCTGCTCATTTACTTTGAAATGAAGGATTTCAACAAAATTTCTATTTCTCATTCTCTGTTTTTAAAAATCTCTAGCTAGGTCATATAACTGGAAGAAAATCAGTTATCAACAGAGCTGTCATAACACACTTACATACAATATAACAGATAAAGGGAGACCATTCTTAACTTTCTCACAAATTATACAATTAATGACACTAAAATCACAGCAGAGACAACTCACCTCATAATTCTCCTTTATCCAGAGCTCCCGTTTAAGAAAAGTTTCTTTCTGCTGATCCTCTAAACTGTCAAACTGAGACTTGGACATTTTCATAGACTTACGTATGAGATACAGTCTCTCTTCCTCTCCATATTCTTTGCCTTTGATGTTAAAGTTATATATCCACCAGCAGTACCAGACTATATATGAGCCCAGGTGAAAAGGAGCCAAGATAATTTGAAACAAGAGAAGATCACGTATGTGGGGTTTCTGATAGCCTCCCTTTATATCGATTTTACTCTTTATAATATTCTTTATGATGTTCTCCTCCTCATCACGAATCTCCTCTTTGGACTTCCTGTTTCTGCCTTTCTCTTTGGCTTTTTTTAGCAGGCCCTGTTGCTTGGCGATTTCTGTAGCTTGAATACGGTATTTGGGCACTGTGGCTAGGTAGCTGATTGTCTTATTGTAGCTATTCCACCAGCTGAAAAACTAGAATATTTAACAAAGAGAAATGGGTCATTTTTATTATAAAAATTCACTACATTAAGTCATAGGAGACTGTCTCAGTCAACACTAGTATCTAAGAAACCAATTCTGATGAACTAAAAATAGGCTCTCCAAGATACAACATACGACTGAGTAGAAACAACAGCTGCTCCATTCAAATGTGGTATATGATCCCAGCAAAATGTCATTGTGGTGGTGTGCCATCGAGTTAGTTCCAACTTAACTGCAATCCTGTATGGGGTTTCTGAGGCTGTAAATCTTTACGGGAGCAGAAAGCCTCATCGTTCTCCATTGGAGCAACTCGTAGATTCAAACTGCTGAACTTGCAATTAGCAGCCCAACATGTAACAACTATGCTACCTGGGCTTCTTGAAGTAAAATGTAATATATATGCATAATAAAGAAGAATGAAATTCTGGTACAGATTATGATATGAATGAACCTAAAAAACATTACTCTGAGTAAAGTACTTAAGATGTAAAAGGACAAATATTGTGTGATCCCACTTATATGAAACATCTGGAACATACAAATGCATAGAGACAAAGTTTTTAGTGGTTACCGGAAACTAAGGGACGGGGGGTAGTGGAGAACTGTTGCTTAAGGGATACTGAGTTTCTCCTTGCAGTGACATGAAACATTTGGAAATGGATAGTGGTTGCATACCATGATGAATGAAATTAATGTCACTGAACTGTAATGTAGAAATGGTATAAAATGGCAAATATTTTGTTATTTATTTGATCACATAGACATACACATACAAACATGCAAATGAACAATATCCAGGTGTGCTCCAGAATGGGATCTCAAGGTTGCATAAGGTAAACCTTGATCTGAGCCAAAACGCCAGAGATTCAAACAAAGGATACTGGCAGGGATTACACCATACCTGTGGTCTCACAGAATTATCATTTGGCTCTTCCCCAGATCACTAAGGAGCCCCTGTTTTTTCACACTGCAGTTTACTCACTGGAGGAAGGGTTAAATAGTAAACACTAGCTGGTGAGGAATTTGTTTTAAAGACTCACAGGCCTATAGCCTCAGGCAACCATACCATTCCTGTCTGAAACCATCTACCTATGCTACAGTAATACACATCAGATTCTGAAACAATAGATTCAAATATGTTTGAATTGACTTATTTGTGCAGGAAAACATTAAATTACTTCATAAATATAATCAATCATAAAAAAGTTTTATTAACTGTCAGAAAAGCCCTGCTCCTCACATAATTCCTCTATACAGTTCATCTGCTGCTTTATTGAATGTATGCAATAGTTACACCAATAATATCTTAATGCATTGTAACAGAACTCTATTAGGGATAACAACAAAAAAATGTTGCTAGGGTTAATACTTTAACTAAAACAGACAAACTTATCTGTGATCTTTCCTTTGAAAGGGCATATGTTCAAAATATACAACTTGAGCTTTAAAACTCTTCTATCTTTTAAACTGAAACTCATTTCTGGGAAGAAATCGAGAATTTTCAAATTAGCAAACTGTTTCATTCTAGTCATTTGATTTGTTCTTTTCCTCTAAAGAGGTCCATGATTCACATGGTCAGTTTAAAAGCAGGGAAAATTAATTTCAAGCTGAAGTTAAATTTTGGTGATATTTCAAAACTACCTAGCAAGTTATTGTCGCTCTTTTGCTGATTTCAGTGGTTCTCAGCCTCAGCAGAAGCACCCTTACGGAAATGTGTGGGACAGTTTGGGTTGTTCCAGTGGTAGGGAGTGATACTAGCATTTGGTGGATGGGAGCTAAGATGGTAAACACACTACAATGCAGAGGCTGTCCTATACAGGCAGAAGAGTATTCCTGCCTTGAAAATGAAAATCTTTCCTATTGAGAAACACTCAAATTATTCTCCTACAACTTAATATATTAAATCCTGTGTGGTGTGGTCCAATACAGTAGTTCCTACTACATATGACTGTTTAAATTTAAATTAATTAAAATGAAAATTTCAGCTTCTCAGTCACACTAGCCACATTTCATGAAAAGCCTCAAGTGGCTAGTAGTTACCATATTGGACAGCACAGCTGGAGACTATTCCTATCCTCACAGAAAATCCTATTGCGTAGTGCTAGCAGATTTCTGGGAAATCACTTCTAGCTGGCTTGCTGGCTCAGTGTATTCAGTTTGACTCTTACCAAAAGTATTTCCAAAGATTACTACTTCTGTCCCTGTTCTCTCCTAGGACAAGCCGTACGCCATGGCATCTGATCATCTTTCCTCAGAGGAATCCATATGTGTCATTCAGGTAGGCTCTGAGTAGGTGTATGCCTGATTTTCCAGGAACTGAAATACATCTGACCAATGTGCTTGAGTAGACTCTGCCTATACTCCATGCTCATGAATAGTTCAAGAGAGCTAAGAAGTAAATTTGTTGTTGTTGTTAGGTGCCACTGAGTCAGTACCGACTCATAACGACCTTATGTACAACAGAACAAAACACTGACCGGGTCCAGGGCCAACCTAACAATTGTTGCCATGCCTGATCCTACTGATGCTGCCATTTTGCCAATCCATCTCGCTGAGGGTCTTCCTCTTTTTCTCTGACCCTCCAAAAGTAGATAGGAGCCAGCTAATAAAGGATTTGGTAGGTCATAGAAAAAGGTTTCCATTTTCTCAAAATTTAATGGTAAATCATTAAAAAGGTCTACAAAGCCAAACCATACGGTGCAACTCTGGCCATTATGTAGAAAATACTCTAGAAGTGGGCAAGACAAAAAGTTCAAGTAATTTTTTTTGGGTTTAGCTATATAAAGACCTTTGCCATTAATTTCCTAGATGTCTCAATAACAAAGATTCAAACACTATTGATTGGCTGAATAAATGAATATTTGCAAATGTAAAAAATGTGTTTCAACTGAAATTAAAATTTTACAAATGGTACTTCTAGTTCAATTTTAATAACTAGCATTGTCAGTGTGCTTGTGCACATACAGAAACATATCCAATACACACCTGAAACACTGAAATAGCACAAACACTGACTAAAATTACAAGTCTAACATCCACTCTCGGGGCTAAACGCCTGCTGTAGTAGTGGTAATAATGGCGGTAGTACTCCTCTGGGTGATCCAGCAGGTAGTCATAATCTCTTCGTGTATCTTCATCCTATAAAACAACACAATAGCCAATTTCATAGGACAGTTCATGAAACGGCCTTAATTTGGAATCTATTAAATGAAATCTAGAATTTGATATTTATGTAAGATTAAACCAAGTGAAACAACTGTCAAAAGAACTCCTATCACTCTTCAAATTCACACATATATAAACTTGTTCCTAGAACTTTAATATTACATAGAAAACATGTAATAAAAATTGTTTCCCCAAATTCTTGAATATTGTTAGTTCTCTTGGAAAATAAAACATTTCAATAGCGATTACCCAAGCTTTTCAAGCTAGTTTTGTGGTTGTAAGGATGCTGTCATGTTCCTATAATTTAAGAGCATGTTGACATCTGCTCTCAATAACTGTGAATATAAAGATATTTATCTTCTGTATGTATTCACAATCATAGCTCGTAAAGAAAATTTTCTTTTGAAAGTCATGATTAAAAGAGGCAAAAGTAGATGAAGCCACTGTGTGCCTACAAAAGTAAATAAAATTCATCAGAAAAATTGAGAGATCAATGCAGTAGAATGAAAAGAGCGTTGGTCTAACTCTAAACACTTTGATTTACTAGCTTTGTGACTCTCAGCAAAATCTCTGCTGAGCCTTACTCTTGTTCATTTGTGAAAGAGGTAATATTATTTGTCCTATTAATTTTAAAGGACTGTTTTGATATCAAATACTATACATTATAAAAATCATAATGCAAATAAGCATTACTTCATTTATAATGCATTGCCACTTAGAGATCTTCATTACTCATATTAGTGTGTTGAAAGAAAGATAGCATGTCAAAATGCTGCTCTGAACATTCATAAACATTTCTTAAAACCTTCTCCTACTCCAAACAGCTGCTAACAGGATGTAAGTCAATCTTTTTTATTGCACCAAACAGGTACAGTTTGATTTTGATCTTATAGGAAACTTATACTTCCAACTTGTCTTGTTTCAAAAAACTTATTATAGATTAAAAACTAAACAAAACCATGTTTTTCCTCTCTACAAGTAAGTGCAACTATGACAAAAAATAAAACTCCTTTTTAACTTACAGTATTGCTTTCTAGGATGAATTATTCAACAGCCATAAAATTGTAGATTCTAGCTAGACGCATTTAAAAATATACCTAGTATCTGGCCTTGCTATTGTAAACACAGGCTCAGGAGTCACTTTAGGGCCTCCTTCTGAGTCCTCCAACATGCAGTTTCTTAGATTTTTTTTAAAAAGAAGTTTTCTTATGATAAATTTTCCTGTGAATCCACTAAAGTTATTATGTATTTTCTATTAAGATTTTTTTACTTTAACTGACAGCCGTCTCGTTGGTATTCATTCATTACATTTAGAGTTATGTTTTACTTCTTACTAGGAGTTCTGGTGGTGCTGCTAAGATTGACAGCTCAAACCCACCAGCTACTCCATGGGAAAAAGATGAGGCTTTCTGCTCTGGTTAAGGCTGACAGCCTCAGAAACCCTAAACACTAGCTAAAGGGTCACTTCATGGCAGTGGGATTATCTGATACTAGACAAACTAGTATCTTGTTTAATTAGATGTGAACATATTAAAAGTCTACTCCATGGCACTATATGCCTGGAGTTTATTTATATGAGAATTGCCTATTATACGAGGGCTGAGTTTACTCTGAAATTCTTTACGGATTTACTTCTTTTATGTTCTCTTCTATCAGAAATGATTTTCTTATGGCGACTGCCCCAAGCTTCACTGTCAGCTCTGTTATTCCTTCTTTAAACCATCATCATACCCCAAGCCTGTAACACACTCAGGGTAAAGCTTTACAGAGGGCACACAGAAAGTCCTCAGGTTGAAAACTTCTCTCTCTTGATGTACATCATTTTGAGTATGGAGAATAAACACTGGACGGAGAGGTCAGTTTGAACCCCAAGGTTGGCAGTTGAAACTTAACAGCCGCTCCTCCGAAATCCTATACACGGTCGCTATGAGTCAGAACCAACTTGACGGCACTTAACAACAACAAATATTTTTAAGAATTTTTCCATCCCCCTCCCCAGTCATTTTTCGCACTTCTGTATAAAAATACCCAGTTTTTGACCTGAAATTCTTAACTGAACTCAGCCTCCCATTCTTGGTAAATGTCTTTAACAACGTTTCCCTTCCAACACGAATCTTCTTGCACCAACGAGGTTACATGCAGTTTTTAAACTAAACGCCGCTCCAGCCTCTCTGTACTCCTCTTGGTGGAGGCAATCAGCCATCAAATCCTTGAATGTCAATGAAATCTGGTATGTGATGTCATACTTCTATTGGTGATCCTTTCTCTTGTTTGTTCTTGTATTAGTGAATGCAGATATTCTCTTCAAGCATTTCAGTGAAATCGTCTCCAGGGTCACCATCTTCTCACTAGTCCCTAGATCTGTGATCCTCTAACAGAAATGTCAAGTAATGTTCCAGCACCCACAACCCCAAAATCTATATACCTTGTGTCTGGCCTCTCTACTATAAGCACCACTCTCCAGAGTCTAGTTGGGGCCTTTTAATGAGTCCTTAAATTACTCAAGTCCCACCAAAAGTTTCAGGACCAAGTCTGATTTCTCTTAGTATGGTCTCCTTTTCCTTGGGGTCAATCACACATTTTATGGTCCTGGTTTGGTCATGACCATAGATTGAAGACTAGCCACCTTGTTATAGCAGCATTTTTTCAACCAGAATCTACACGCTAAGGTTTATAGTTTTTATCCAGAATGAAAAAAATTATCTTTAGACTGAGGCATGCATAACCCTGTTTACAAAGTACTCAAGGTCGGTACTCAAAGTTATGAGTTCTCCACGGCCTAAGTCAAAATCCTACTCTTTAGAAACCTCTAAAGCTTAGACTCAAACTAACAAAGAATACAAAGAAAATACTGGTACAGAGGAAAAGACAGAAATACAAGTACCATCTTTCTGGGCCCAAATTAGAGCTGTACAAACTGTTCTTGTTTTAGCACCGTATGTTGTTTTTCTCCACATGTCTTCTTATAACTAAGGTAGCCTTATACTTTATCCTGCTTCCCCACTCCCCCAATGCTTCCCTGTGGCCAATAAGGTAAGTTAAAGTATGCTTGGAATGCAAAAGGCCTCCACAGTTGGTCCAAATATACCTTCCTCACATTTCTTACCACTTTCCTCTTTTGCCCAAACCAAACATTCAGATAACAATTGCTAGAATTTGGTGTATTCTACAGTACAGAATGCGCTCTCTAGGCTGAGTGCCCATTCCTTTCTTTTCAACCTCATGAGCTCCTAACTAACCTTTCAAGACACAAACATTGCCATCTCAGACCAAAGTAGACCACTCCTCCTCCTCCTCCAATTACAGTCAGCACCCATTTAATATAGCACTTATCACATTGTAATTATCAGGGTTTTTCTTTCCCTTGAGAAAAAAAAAACTTGTAGAAGATAGGGAAGGTAAATCATTCATCGCTGTACATCCAAGGCTTAGCACAGTGCCTGGCATTCATTAAATGTCATTTCAAAAAGGAATGACATTTTGCAAACGCTCTCCTTCACTATAAACATCTGCCTGTGCATCCACACAGGTCTTCGTCTCACCAGCAAGATGGATGGGTAGTTTTGCCAGAAAAACATCGATTTTGTAGAAATAATTGATTCTACAGTTTATGAAAATATACTAATATGGCTAAAATAGCTTAAACCTTAAAACAGTTGAATAGCTTACCTTTCAATAAGGTAGTACTTTTTCTTTCAGCAATTTTGTGGATCTTAAGGTCCCAGGGTCAGGTGATTCCAACTTCTTTCCAAACCAAAACCTTTATACTTGTTTCTTCCTCCTCTCTGTCCTGAGTCTTGATAAGCAGGGCAATAAACTCCTTGTTTCTAATTTCTACAGGAATAAATGGAGCTTCTGCTGGTGTCCACTCCAATCCCAATCCTTTTGGGCATATGCAGGAGGACTGGAACATAACCAACAGTATCTAGATCAAAAGTGAACAAGAGGAAACCCACAAGCAAAGAAAGCACTGAATCCTCCTTCCTTCTCTCATCAAATTTACCACCCCACTTCCCCAGAGGCAAAAATATATTATGCTCTTGCCCTTGAAAGAGATAATAAATTGTTTTATTTCAACAAGTATAAATTGCAATAATTTGATATTGCAGTCAGTTTTACATTAAATTGTTTCTAGTACATAAAATGTAGAAACCATTTCAAGATGGCAAAGGCTAGGAATCAATAAAAGATGAAAACCTAGTAACATCTTATTCATTCTTGAATGAATTTTAAAAGAAACACACACAAACGATCCTTTAAAAAATACTCTCTGTCCCCCTAAATTTTTCTCCAGGCCATTACATTCTACTAAAGAGTAAAAAAATGAACTGTTACCAGTTTCTTTTCTTGTTCCCTGACTACCCAGTCACTAGTACATCTGTCTTCTCAGGTATCTTCTCTTCTCACTATGCACATAGTCTCATAAGCACTGGACTGGGCTGCTAACTGCAAGGTCGGTAATTCAAACTCACCAGCTGCTCTTCAGAAACCTTATATAGGGCCACTATGAGTCAGAACTGACTCGATGGCAGTCAGTATCTCAGATAATAGTATCATCATTTAGTTAGTCAACTAAGAAAAAAGGATAGTCATTTTCCACTCAAGATATAATTATGCAGGGCATTAGGCCTTGTGTTGAATATAAAGACAAAGAAAAAAAGACAAACAAGATAATGTGCTGACTGCAAGAACTCTCACATCTATAAATCTAGCAAGAAAAGTACACTACCGTGTGCTATGGAAAAGGACGAACAACAGCTGGAACCACTGTCAATGAAATCCACTTATGAGATTAAATGAAAGCTGGATCTTGAAACACAGAAAGATGCGGTGTCACGTGTTCCAAGCAAACATACTGCACACCATGAAGCTTGAGCACTGGGGAAATTCAGGAAGAGGAGCAGTCAATGTGGCTAAGAAGGGGTGTGGTTAAGAACTGTTGAGGATCTTACATGCATTCTAACAAGTTATAG